TTTCTGTCCTCGTGTATCAAACGAGGAAAACGCTGCTATTATTTAATGTCTATGACTTATGTAACCTTTCCAACTACTCCATATATAAGGAGGGAGAGAGAGAGAGAGAGAGAGAGAGAGAGGGGCTATGGGGGAGGAGGTGGCCTGTAACATGACAGAAATGCCCTTGAAGGTGCCTCACTTTGTCCTAGTGCATGGAATAGGTGGTGGAAGTTGGTGCTGGTACAAAATCAGGTGCCTAATGGAGAATTCCGGCTACAAAGTCTCCTGCATAGACCTCAAAGCCTCCGGAATCGATCGATCCGACGCCAAAACCATTCTCACGTTCGATGAATACAACAAGCCGTTCGCGGAATTCATGTCCTCCCTGCCTAATGACGAAAAGGTCCTCCCTCCCTCCCTCCCTCTCTCTCTCTCTCTCTCTCTCTCTCATCAGTCGTGGTCTTAATTGATGCGTACGGTACAGGTAATTTTGGTAGGACACAGCGCCGGGGGACTAAGCCTGACCGATGCAACACACAAGTTTGGGAAGAAAATTCGCTTGGCAATCTACTTAGGAGCCACAATGTTGAAAACTGGGTTCTGCACCGAACAAGATGTCAAAGACGTAAGTCATACTTCTCTCTCTCTCTTCCCCTCTATCTCTCAACCACTTCTTTCCCGCAATTACGTCGGAAAACAAACTGTCCTTTTTTTGCCTTTTTCGTGCTCAAGACTTTCGCTTATAACAAAATTTGAACGACATAAGAGTAACGTTCATACGGTTTTACCATTTTTATTATAGATGTAGATACTGATTAATCTTGTGACTCGTAATCAATTATGGTGCGGAAACGCGTTACGTGAGATCGATCCTGACGTCTAATCATTGTCAACAGCCCATAAATGTTTGACTTGTGATTTTATTTTATTTTATTGAAATTTTTGATGTAGGTTTGAAGTTTGAGTTCTGGAATGTTGTAAGTGTTTGACTTCACCTTTTACGATTAAATTGCACTACCTGCTCCAAAAATGCATCATAGAGATCGTAGAAATACGTACATATATGTGTGGATTCTTATTTTTCAAGCAAAGGTAATTTACAGAGAGGGTACAAGGACTAGTCAAAGACCTTCAAATTAAATTTCAGGAAAATGGTTCTGAAAATCGGAATTGATCGATGATGTAAACATAAAATCTGATCAGGAGGCCCCGGGATGGGCAAATGGCAGTACTGGGCCTGAAGATGCCTTGTTTTGTCTTGATAAATAAGAACAAAGGATAAGAGGGAGTAGATAGATATAGGTACGTAGTCAGTAGTCTGGGGGGGGTGTTCCAACATCACCATCTTCACTAGTACTTTTTGTGCGAATAATTCTTTTAGTATATATTTTTTTTCGGGTGGAGGACCCGAGATGTTCAATTCAACTTACGCATATATATTAGTTTGACTAATCTCCTCTCCGGTCCAATCAAAAATACAAACCATTCATGTTGGAGTCAGGGGATTCACGAGAATTTTTTTTGCTTCCTCCTGATCTTAAAAATAGAAGTCTGATCATTTTTTTGGCGGGTAAAACTCTGCCCAGGTCAGTGAATGATCATTTGATGGTAATTGGGAGGAGAATCACATGAAATGGTGCGGCATGGTTGTGTAACAGCATTGGACGGACGCGGTGAATGGGTTACAACTGTCTTCACGGAGTTGTAACAGTATTGAACATTTCCAGTGTCATCATTCTACCTACTCTCCCAAAACTCACAATTAAATCTGGACCGTTGGGTTACAACTGTCTTCACGTAGTTGTAACCGTTTGTTCTTTTCATGGTTTGAGTGTTATGTATTGAATTTGGATCGTTGGTTTCTTTTCATGGATATTTCTTGGTTCGAGTGTCTTGTTTTGTACTACTCCTTTTGAGAAAAAGATTTAGTTTTGACATCGGATGACCTATTTTCCTAAAATAAATTGACATTTTTAAAAAAAAAAATTCAATAGTTATTCGTTTAGCTTTGTGTTTTCTTTCTGAAATTAAGTGTTAAAAATTATTAACACGAAGAAGACAAATTTTGAGTTTTTTTTGTCTTTTTTTTTTAAATTTTAGTCTACAATTCAATTTGTATGTTTTTATTTTATTTTTTGTCGGAGACACTGTCTATTTTACTTTTTGAGCAATCTGAATGTTTTTGAAATATCAAATTGGTGTGCAAATAATTAATGACATGGCAATAATGTTGCAATTATAAATCTCGAGTGTTTTGTTTAAAAAGAAGTCTACAAACACAACTTGAGTCCACATGCATCGAAAACGCAATTGCATCCAAAATTGTATTTAAAGGTTGTGTTTGTAGCATCAAACTTATTCTGCATAGTAGTTCGCTGGTGTGCAAATAATATAACGTTGCAATAATAATGTTGCAATATAAACCTCGAGTGTTTTGTTTCGGAAAAAGTCTACAAACACAACTTCAGTCTGCATGCATCGAACGCCTACAAATGCAATTGCATTCGAAGTTGTATTTTAAGATTATTTTTGTAGCATACATACTTATTTTGAATAGAAAATTGATTTTCGCTCTCCATTTTTATACACAAGCGCTCCACTTGGTGCATGAAATTATTAGTAATTTTACGCTAAAAATAAAGTACCTGCGTACAAAGTGAAGCGCCAAAATCAGCGTTCATATAGTTGGCCTAATTGTAGTGCAATTTCATATGTAAAGCGTACATATATAACGCACTTTCTCGGTATCTATACCGTGAGTAGTGCATCAGTGCATGCCAACTTTGAGGAGATTTGCCTGAAAAAACACGTGGGTTTGCATGCAAAAGCAAAGGAATCTACATACTTGTGGGCCTTTCTAGCTAGCATGGTCTCCAATTCATCTGTACCTCATAACCGAGGCAGGATCCTCTGGGCCCAAAATTTCGGAGAGGATCCTGGACTAATTTTGCTTCCAAACAGTTTGATCCAGTTGCGGATCATTTATAGGCCTTTTTCGGACTCACAACAATGATCTGGACGGGACTCGTCGGAAGCAAAATTGGAAGGAATCCTCTCATGAAAACCATTGTGCCTCTGTGCTGAGGCGGTTTTCGGCCGTTGAATTTAAAACATAAAAAATAATAATCACACATTAATCTAATGGCCGAAAAATCCCTTGACACAAAGGCGCAGGAATGTTCGCGACAGAGGAGATCGGACCCCCTCCTAGTACTCCAATTATTTGCCAAACCTTCTCTTTTTTTCCTCTTTTTTTTTTTGGGTATTAGAAATGTACATTTAAAGAGAAGAAAAAAAAAAAGTAGTACTCCTATATTGGGAGAAAGTGAACTTCAAAGAAACCATCATATTCTGTTTGGGTTTGATTTGAATTTTTTTTCCTTGCATCCGTAATTCCTTGTATTCTTCTTGTGGTTATATTTGCTAGTTGGCCATTTTTACATCTACCAGAACTTGCATATATATAGCAGCAAAATTCCAAAACATTTTACATATCCTGTTTTTTGAGGCTAAATTCTAAAATATTTTTATTTCCCATTTTGTTAAACAGGGAGTACCGGATTTATCAGAATACGGTGACGTATACGAACTAGGGTTCGGACTAGGACCAGATCAACCCCCAACAAGTGCCCTAATCAAGAAAGAATTCCAACGCAAAATCGTCTACCAATTGAGCCCTCAAGAGGTACTAATCCCTAATTCCTTCAATCAATTTAACCTCGGATTAATGTTGGGATATTGGCCTGGTGGTCAATGACAATGCCGGATGTATAGGAATTTGTTATATCTCCTAAGGTTTTAAGTTCAAAACGTCTCAGTGCTATCAATTTCTATGGGACTGGTCATCACTGGATTTTATTCCTGCTTTTAATGGGTTTTCACAACCGGACATAATTGGCCTGGACACTGAGTTACCTAAACCAATTCCCTCCAATCAATTGACCTAATTTTTTTCAATTTTCCCCATGTTTTTTTTTTCCTGATGGCTCTCGATTGCCACAGGATTCAACTTTGGCCGCAATGCTTCTGAGACCAGGCCCAATAAAAGCGCTGGTCTCTGCTCGATTCGAAGAGGGAATGATCGATTGCGATGAGGTCCCACGTGTTTACATCAGAACGACGCAGGATCGGGTGGTGAAGCCGGAGCAGCAAGAGGAGATGGTAAAGCGATGGCCGCCGGCGGAGGTGTACGTTTTGGAGAGTGACCACAGCCCGTTTTTCTCCACGCCGTTTCTGCTCTTCGGATTGCTTGTCAAGGCAGCTGCTTCCGTTGGGATTTACTAGCTGATTGAAAATTGAAAATAATACTACCCTATTATTATTCAGAGTCAATTGTGGTAATTGATTTTCTTTGTGATTCTGTGAACAAGTGGTAGCCTGGAGGCTGGAGTCTTGGACTACATTAGTTATATATATATATTCATTATGTAGAGTTAGTATTCATTTTTTTTTCTTTTTTTTTAATCCGAAAAAACGCCTCAAAGGCTTTCACTGAAATAGAAAACAGCCTAAAGGCTGAATAAGAACCGAGTCCGGAGCCTTACGTTGGGTAAAAACCTTAACAAACGGGTTATCCATGGGGACCGGATTGAAATTTCTTGAGTACAGAAAACCAAACCCTTAACGGGCAACGAATGATCCGCGCAGGGACCAACAAACATATTCAATGTCATAAATTGAAGTTTAAAAAAGCTTAGAAAAAAGATAAACACCCCTCAATTTTGTGGCAGATTTTAGATATATGGGTGTGTTTCACTAATTAAATAAGTAATTATTTTTTAAATTAAAAGTGATATATTATAACAGAATGACCTATCTCGTAAAATAAAAAATAAGTATTTTAAAAAATAAAAACCTTAGCAAACGGTGCCTGTTGTTTGGGTACTTATTTTCTCTTCTGCGAACCCAACACAACTAATACCCAAACTTTGGTGCGCGAGAATCATTTACTATCTTGTAATTGCCGGAAAATGCAAATTCAATAAGTATTAACTAAAACGCTTGATGTCCTATCAACTGGCCCATTAGCTCAGTTGGTTAGAGCGTCGTGCTAATAACGCGAAGGTCGCAGGTTCGAGACCTGCATGGGCCAATTCTTAGTATTCTTTTCAGAAGTTTTTGCTAACCCGGACTTTCCCTCTGCTTCAGAGTTGAGAATCTCTCGAGTCTCAGCTTCTTATGATCTTTTGGGTCACAAGAAAATTGGAAGAAAAAACCGCAGGAGGACTTCTGATTTGTCATCAGAACCGGACTTGCCCAACAAAAATCTTCTATATTTTCACAAGCACAAGAAGAACCCAAGGTAGAACCAGCGAAAGCAACTAATCAGGGGCTAAGCCTACTTCTTGGACCAACCTTTTTTTTTTTTTTTTTTTGGTAACTAGCGCATTTTATAACCAACCACCAAAACAACCAGAGGAATTAATCCCACATACAAAAACCTTTACAAAGGACTCTACTTGAAAAGCTACACAGTAGACACCCCTAGAACTCTACTGGAAATGTTCCAGCTACAACAGAGATGCTGATTTCTAAGAGAATTAGGAAAAAGCTCCCAAGTACAGACTCTAAAATAGAGTCTGAGCAGCTATTTTTAGTAGTAGTAAAATAGGGAACCTATCATCATGTTGGTCCGTTCCTAGCTTGGATGATATCGAAAATTGATTGTTGGACGCAGATCAACACCTTCTTTACCTCACGCCTGCTTATTAGTGCCGGGGCTGTGCCTATGCCGTGATGGGGATGTTTGCATCGGTCGCTGGATGATGAACCAATGCCCGTGATGGGCTCTTATGGGATGGGCTTATTAAGACGACTCTTTAATTTCTTTGAACGGGAAGGAAAAAAAAATTTTGAGGTGTAATTTAAAGAGTCGTCTTGTAAGGACTAAGGACACTTCAATTGTCGATGTAAAGACCCGGTATTTTTAGTAAATAATAATAATAATCATCAAAACAAAAATATTATTTTTACTCGTTAGTTTATTTAATGCGAAATTTATTTACGTCGTCACACCAATTTTATTTCCGTAATCGATTATGCGCGCATATCCGGCGAGTAATTTTTCTAGTGTGTGCATGCGTTACACCGGATCATTTTTCCAACCCAAACCAATTTCTTCTCACTTTTTCCATTTCATACTTTCGGCTGAGAGGGAAAATAATAATAATAATAAAATAAAAAAAATTTAAATTTTATCATCCTCCTCCAATCAAAAATCGACAACTCTTTTGGATCCTTTATTTTACCCATCAACTAAAGGCTTCGTTTGATAACGGGTTTGAGGGTTGGGATTGGAGTAATAATCCCATGGGACTATTAATACTCCGTTTGGTAACAAAAAAAGGTCCGGACTATTAGTCCGATCGGATTAATAGAGGGGGTATTGCTAATACCCCGTGGGACTTGGTATTGAGAGGTATTAATAATCCAATCCCAACTCCTTCACATTACCAATCCCTTCTCTTTACCAATTTCTTCTAACAATCCAATCCCATCATCTAATCCCATCTCAAACAAACATGATATTAATAATCCCATCATCTAATCCCATCCCAAACAAACATACTCATTATCAATCCCTTCTCATTACCAATCCCATCTCCTTACGAATCCCAATCCTAATCCTATCTCCTTACGAATCTCATCCATCTATCTCTGTTATCAAACGAGGCTCACACACTCCCTTATAGAGAAACGGTAGGGAGAGAGAGAGAGGAGCAGCGAGAGAAGGAGAGAGAGGAGGAGCTGGAGCATCCTCATCACCACCGGTTACCATCATTGATCACATTCGGAGCCACCACTGCCACCTCCTTTAGCACCACCACCCCACCTGAACTCCTTCGGCCACCACCTTCTCCTCCTCCTCCACGCATCATCACCACCATAGCCACCTCCGGAGTACCTCCACAACCGTAGGACCATCACCACAACCGAGCTTTGCCGCCGCTCCGACTCGCCACCGAACCTCTCCGAAAACCATTCGCCGGACAAGAGGTAGTCCGAACTCACCTCCCTACATATATATCTCGTTTATTTATTGATTCTAGTGTTTCGATGGAAACATAATCAAACCCGACGTCGCCGGACGAGTCCGGCCAAGTCCTCTGTTTTGTTTTGAGTTACAGTAGTCACTGGGTTTTGAAAATTCTTTGGAATGATTGTAGTTTAAGCCCCTCGCGTTTGATTAGCTTGTGAATCCACTCTAACGTACTAAGAAAAAAAAATGAAATTGTAAGCCTAAAGTTAATTAGTTTCTGGTTCGATTCTAGTTTCGTCACAAATACGAATTTTTCTAATACCGTCAACACTCCAAGATAGTCAAGACTTATAGTGTGAAGCATGAGAATTTAAGTAGTCTCCTGATAGTAAATGTGACATTGAATCTATAGTAGTTAAGCATTACTCAGACTCGTAATTCATTTTTTGATATTCGAACCTATACAGAAAGTAGCTATGGAACTAAAATTAAAGTCACGTTCATTTCCACTAACTAGTGTTCATGCTTTTAAATAGAACTTATAATCTGATAATATATGATTCTAAGGAAGTTGTTATTTATCTTTTTTTTTCTTTCTTATCTGTAGTTATGCTTTTCTTTTTAATGTTAGTTACAATTACAATCGGCCTTATATTCTGAATGTTTATCATGAGTCAAATTAGTGATGTTTGTCATTGTTGTACTGTTAATGAGAATCTAGATTGGACAAAATAGGCTCCCGGGGTTGGTTGCGATATGCGGATTTAACATATTAGACGTGAAAAGTAGGTAAAATGGATAATGTGAGAGGATGTGATTTGAATTTCGGGCAATCCTGGTTTGGAACCCGTGGTGATGTAATGTTGATGGATGATTGGTGGTGATTTGTTGAAAGTGTTGATTTACGAAACCCTGGGTACGGCATGGTGGTGATCGACTCTCGGATGTTGGGACGGGACATAAGGGTGGCATTGTGCTTGCGTCAAAACCCGGGCTAGACAGCGCTTGAGCGTTGCCGGTGAAGTTCAACCCGGGCTAGACGGCGCTTGAGCGTTGCCGGTGAAGTTTTATCCGAACTTATGGTCGTGGATGGGATACCCGAGTACATAACTTAGGTATCTTTCATCCAGATCTGAAAACGGGGAGTCGGACCACACCAGTGTTTTGTGCCAGAGGTTATGGGTAGGAATGGATCTGTGGATAAGATCCGAGCTTTCACATAGGTTGAAGGATAATAATGAAATGATTAATTGTTCTTTTTTTTTTAATGTTATTTTAATGCATTTCAATTGTATATCATATTGCTTGTAAGTTATGGGTTCGGGTGGGTTTTGGCTATTGAGCGTCATCGCTTACAGTATTATGTTGCCCTGGTAACTCGAACGCCAGGTACCGAAGACGGAACAGAAGTGTTGCATGATTCGATCGAGTTCAATCCTATTGAGGAAGAAGCTGAAACCCTTAGTTTCCGTGCGCATAGTCGCTCTGATTAATTTAAGTTGACTCTATTTTGGAAGCTTCTAAGTTTATTTGGAAAATTGTAATATTTTAATTTATTCAAAATGGTTGTAATATAATGACATATGCTTTTGAAATGGTGACGTAGTAAATCTATGAATTTCTTTTGTGGAAATAATCTTTTAAATTTTATTAATGTCTCCGAATTTTCGGAGCGTTACAGTCGAGGCGCTTTTTGGCCAGCTTTATAGGCCATAAGGACACAGCCATGAGACCAATTCTCGAACTGGATCAAACCGGATAATACATCTATCAGATTAAGGCTCTGTTTGTTTCGATGTAAAATGTTTTTCATGTAAAATATTTTTTTAGAAAACAAATTTCAAAGGTGTTTGGTTGACACTTGAAAAATACTTTTAAAAAAGAGACAAAATAGTGTAAAGGGAGAAAGGAGGTTTAAACGGTGGAGAGATCTGAGAATATTGGAATTGAACGTGGCTCAGGACTCACGATCGAGGAAACTGAGCAGTGAAAATTGTAGTAGAAAGCAACGGGTTCATTTCGAAAAATAATTTACGGAAGATTTAAGGATAAGTCATTTTCATCCAATTAATGTAAAATATTTTACTCACTTTTTACATAACCAAACACTGAAAAATAGCTAAAATATTTTAGCCCCAAACAAACGGAGCCTAAGTGTAAAGAGTCGTCTTATAAGGACACTTCTATTGTCAATGCGCCTTTTGGGCTTATAGGCCATAAGGACACGGCCGTGGGACCAGTTCTCGGACTGGATCAAACCTGATAATACTTTCAGATGGGGTTAGGGCCACACATCTAACATTACATACATGGGCAGAACTACCCTTTGGCTGATCTGAGCTGTAGTCCAGGTGCACTTCACCCAAATTATAAAAAATAAAAAATTATATATAAATTTTCATCATCCCATTCAGCTCAGTGCAACCCAACCCACCATCCAAATACTCCTAATTTCGAATAGGGCAAACCCAGAGGACTTGCTTCTACCCTTTTTCTTCTTCGGAACTTCCTTCTCCGAAAAGCTCGACCTTTCGACAGCAAAAACACGGGATTTTTCTAAGAAACAAGTCTTGGGACTTCTATTGTTAGCAGGTATGGTAGGATTGGAGGAAATCTGATCATCGAAGGAATTAGGGGCGATGGATTTTGTCTCTATTTTGACTGCAATCGATCAGAAACAACTCTTTTATCGTTATTCAAACCAAAATTTTTGTCTCCATTTTTAAATTATAATGGAACAACAACAAAAAATAGTGAAAAAAGTCTTTTGTCGTTCTTCAAACTAAAACTTTGAGTTTGCCACCTTTTGGTTCATAAATATAAATTTTGGCCGTTAGCCCAGGACGAAATAAATTCTTGGTTCCGCCCTCGAATTTACATATCAACTTACACAAAACTATATATTGATAACACGCTAGCTTACAACTCTCACATACTCGCACTTACACTTTGTAGTCTCAGAAATTTTCGTTCCAAACATTAAAGTACATTATGAACGAGGCATAAAAAGCGGCGAGCAAAAAGACCTTTAGGCAGGAGCTCTGCAGGATCAACATGCTAGCACACAAAATCATTCCTCTTCAAGATCAGTCGTGGCCTTCCAAACTTTACAG